CCAAATAGCATTAAGTCATTGCCGGTGGCCAGTCGTGCGCGTGATATCCTCCTGTCGCCTACCGATCGCATTGTTCCGCGCGCATTCTACGCGGATGCACCTTCGGGGTTCCGCGCAGGGTACCAGGCCTCGGAAAAGGTATACAACGAGAGACGGACAATGAGATCGTTGTTTCGAATTCGCGGCCGCTAGTTACGCGGCCGGTGAGAGAAGGCGGGGCCCCCTTGCTCGATCGACTTACATTTTTCACGTCGGATTATATTGTTTTCTCGCTGCGGAATCGCCGCGACTCCCGTAGAAAGAAGAAAACGAAAGAACGAAACTATGGAAAATCTTGAGAGATGTACGAGAATGGAACGCAAGATGTTGAAGCATTGTAATGCAAGAAGCTGAAGATCAATGTAGAACGATCAATGTAGAATGTAGAACAATGAGAGAGGCCGGCATTTCTAATTTTAATTTTAATCGGTATTGATCCTTTGCACTCGAGGCCTTTTTTTCCTGGTATTTACTAACAACTCGAGATGTTTTTTAGCATTCTATTGCCATGAATCCTAAGCTATCTAGATTCGAGAATAAGATCGCCTTTACTTCACCTACGATCGTTTTATCGACAGTTGGAGCTCCAAAAAACTTAAACCTAAAGGAACACTAGGTATTGTAGATTTGCTGCGTGAAACCTAACAGAGATTGAGAGTTAACCTATTGCACTCGACTTTGAGCTCGACGTGCTTTCTTAGCATTCTTTTGCCACGAAGCTTGGATCGACTTCTCGAGTGAGATCTCTAATTTGAGATTGGAGAAAAAGGAGACCTTCACCTCATCGACGAGACACTTCCAGTTCCAGAGAAATTGAATCTAAATTCAAATCTCAATTTGCTGCGTCGAACCTAGTAAAAAAGAGATGTACAGAGAACAGAGGTTACAAAAGTAAAAAAGTATACTCATAGCTACCTAATTTCGTGCAAATGGATTACTGCGTACGTACGAAGGGTTCGAAAGACGTGAACCAATTCCTCTCTCCTGGTTCCCTCCATAAAAGACATACTACGCAACGATTAGTCGAAAACGGATCAGAACGGTTTCCTTGTTGCTCGGCCAGGGGCCCCTGAAAAAGATCATCGCGTTGACAGAGGGGAGGCGAGGGTACACACGGCTACATTCACCGATTTCACGGTAAATCGAGCGTTCCTTAGCCGTGGGTCTGGTGTGTGCCCTTACGCGAACCCCATTGTGGACGGTGCCTCCTGTGGTGTCACGGTAGAACGAGAACAGAGCATGGATTGGCCCGCAGGTCGTCCTGTCTTCGAAATAGCATTAACCGAGGTGCATAATGGCTCAATCGGTGCGTCGTTGATGTGCCTTTAAGGGAATTCGCGTCTCCTGGTTGAAGAAGACGTGAGACGTATGAAAGAAGACGTACGCGCTGGCGAACGTTTCGTCTAAGGAGATTACACCTATATGTAACGTGGCTTTAGAAAGGAGAAAGCAACGTGCTACCATGAGTATATACAGAGGAATTTTATTCGAATCGTGGATGTTTTATTTATCTCTTATTGGGTGGAATAGAGGGTTAGGTATGGCTGTTTCACCCAATATAAGAGGTATTGCTCTATATATACTTATGGTAGCACGCACTTTCCTTTCTTAAGCTACGTCACGTACAATTGTAATCGCACCTACGTCATCAATGTATACGTGCTCAAACGTTTTCCCTGAGAAATGAAATAAATTTATTCTAGAGCTGAGGCGTCGACGAAAATAAATCTGGATAGGATTTATAAGTTCTAAAAATGTTGCAAAAATAAGTACCTACTAGTACAAATGTCGTGTTCTAGATTTACTAAGCGTCTCGGGACAGAATTTTGGTCCTGACACCTCACCTGGATTCTTGGACCAGTTAAATCGTCACGTGCGAACGTTTCGACCGAAAATAAAAATAATCGAAGCCCAGAGGTGGGGGGAAATAAGCTTCTTGACTCGGCACGGTTATTATCGAAAGCGGTAGAGAGATAAGGGCCTCGATAGGGCGGGCACAGGGCGATGACGGTGATTTAATATTTTTCTTGTTATGAGTATAAGCTCGCTAGTTTATTCTGAAAACAGCAGCCCAAGCACCGGTTCGTGTTCTCGTGCAAAACCACCTGCACGAATAACCATCACCGTCGCTGCGTTCTGGATCTTTACTTATTTACCCACATATTTGCCCGTTGACTTTTCCCGGCTTTTCTGTTATTCCTAAACGTTTCCCAGCGTGATTGACACGTTGTCCGCGAATAATTTAACAGGCTCGCCAACTAGGGTTATCAAACTCCCTGGTTACATTTATCGTTTCGGTTATAGCAAAATAGAATTATCCGAGTCGACAAATTTGAACAAATTTACCTATCCAGTATGGTTTGGCATTTTATTTCATTTTAAACGAATCGAGACTTAACCTCAAAGCTAAGTGGGACTCGAGTATTTCTAGGTTAAATTATTCACTTTTGTGATTTAATTCTATTTTAAGCAAACCTAGACCTAAGCACAGACATAACCTCAAACCTGACTCAAAACCATCGACGAGTCAGAGTTCTTGACAAAATGGGATTGTCTGACTCGACCATTTCTATGTTAAATTATTCACTTTTGTGATTGAATTTTATTTTAAGGAAACCTAGACCTAACCTCAAACCTAACCTCAAACTTGACTCAAAACCATCGACGAGTCAGAGTTCTTGACAAAATGGGATTGTCTGACTCGACCATTTCTATGTTAAATTATCCACTTTTGTGATTTCATATTATTTTAAGCAAACCTAGACCTAACCTCAAACCTAACCTCAAACCTGACTCAAAACCATCAACGAGTCAGAGTTCTTGACAAAATGGGATTGTCTGACTCGACCATTTCTATGTTAAATTATCCACTTCTGTGATTTCATATTATTTTAAGCAAACCTAGACCTAACCTCAAACCTAACCTCAAACCTGACTCAAAACCATCGACGAGTCAGAGTTCTTGACAAAATGGGATTGTCTAACTAGACCATTTCTAGGTTAAATTATCCACTTTTGTGATTGAATTTTATTT